GTTTTTATCAAAAAAATAATTCAAAAGTTCAACTTTATATTTAAAATAAACCGTTTTATTAACAATATAGTTTTTAATTAAATAAAGTAATAAGTTAAAATACATAATATTAAGGTTATAAGAAAATTTAAAGTTTTTCAGTTATTTTACCACTCCCCCATTAATCTAAAACGTGTGTGTATCAAAATAATATTATACTCTGTATAATATTGAAAGGACTTTTATTTATTTTTTATAGGGCGAAACTTTATTTTTTTAATTAAGTGCAATAGATAATTTTAAAAAATTTCCAAATCAGGTATAAAAGGTGGGGTATATTTTTTTTAAATCCATAATTATCAATTTGACATTAATGATTTATACCTCTCAATAACTGCAGATATTTTAGATAAAACAATTGAATTTACAAAAAGCCACACAGTTATTCCTGAAGAAACAATCTGCATAATAAAACATTGTAGAAAAGCCTTACTTTATTTTAATAAGGAAACATGGAAAAAGAAAAACATACATGACTGCTTTGAGGTAACAATGGGCAGTTATAATGGAGCAGAAATTTGTGAATTTGTTGGACTATATATATATTAGATTTATTAAGTAAAATAATCAATATAAATGATTTAAGCCTTTATCGCGACGATGGTTTAATAGTTATGCATAAAAATCTGGTCCACAGCTCAATAAAATTAAAAAAGATATAAAAATTTTTAAAAATATTGGCTTTCAAATCGAAATAAACATAAATTTAAATATCCTGAACTTTCTTAACGTCACATTTAACTTCCCTGAAAATTCATGTAAGCCTTTTAAAAAACCAAACGATGAATTATTGTATATTAATATTAATTCAAATTATTCACCCCAAATTCTAAAACAAATTCCAATTTCAATTAATAAGAGGCTAAACCAAAACTCCTCTAATGAAAAAATATTCAATTCCTCTAAACAAATATTTGAAGATGCCCTTAAAAAAAGTGGTTTTGAAGATTTTGAACTAAAATTTGGCCCTGAAAAAAAGCGTACAAAAAAGCGATATAGAACTAAAAATGTAATTTGGTTCAACCCCCATATAGCAAAAATGTTTCCACTAACATAGGTAAAGTGTTTTTAAAATTAGTCGATAAGCATTTTCCGCCCTCTAATAAATTACATAAAATTTTTAATCGAAAAACAATTAAAATTAGCTACAGTTGCACAAAAAATATGGAAAGAATAATAAAAGGTCACAATAATTCTTTGTTAAACAAAAAAGAAATCCTAAAGAAAAATGTACAGAAAATTGTAATTGTAAACAAAAATACAAAGTTGTTTATCTAAAAATGTGGTATATAAATGTATTGTTTCTTCTAAAAATGTGGCTTAATATATTTGCATAACAGAGGGTGAATGAAAAAAACGTTTTCCCAATCATAAGCAATCATTAAAAATAAAATGTATTCAAAAGACACCATGCTGTCAAAATATATATGGGAAATTAAAGATATAAACATTGATGATTTTATAATGAATTGGGCCATCCTTAAAACAGCACCTGCATATAACAATAATTCTAAATAATGCATACAATGTCTTCAAGAAAAATTTGAAATTATTACACATGCAAACCAAGAATGTTTATATATATATATATAAATATATATATAAATATTATATATATATATATATATATATATATATATATATATATATATATATATATATATATATATATATATATATATATATATATATATATATATATATATATATATATATATATATATATATATATATATATATATAGGCCTTGTTTTAGATAAAAAAATGCTGAATGCATTAGCCTATTGTGATTTTGATGTCATAAAAATGTTTTTGTTTTTTTATATTATAAAGGCATTATTATTTTAATTCGCTGCAATAAAATGTTATACCGCAAAACAAGTTTAAAAATATTTACAAAACAAGTTGAATATTATTTTTAAATATTATTTATACTTGTTTTTCATTAATGGGTCAAATCATTATATTTCAGTCAATAGCCTGGAGTTACGATCTCTGATTTTCCTAGTTTTTACATATTGTTATGTGCATTATTTTGATATTATACTTGCTTCCCTCTCCCCATTAATTGTTGCCACCCCAACTTCCCTCCCCTCCCCCACTCACTCTTAGCTTAGGGGGTGTAGGTTGTTGTGTCCAAACAACATACAGACCATTGATCACCTAAATGAAAATAATATATAAAGAAATAACGCTTTTAATTTAAAATTAATTTAGATATTTATATATTAAGTATCTAATTATCTAAATTAATTTAGAGTCCTTCATTTTAACAATAATGAAGGTCTTTAAAAAGTTATTGAACTCTTTATTTGAGCCCCTATCTACTATAAAGACCAGATCAAGGAGAGGGCAACCAACCATATATTTCTTTTTGTTAAGAAATTACTTAAAATTAGTTGTACCTCTCACATTGGCTGATTGGCAGGTTGGAGGGGTTTCTAATGCATTCAACCGTTGATAATTGAAAAATAGGGTTATTTAAAAATGCTGGCATTTTTGGTGTAAATTTCACAAGTTATATGCTTATATTCTGGTAATATTACATCAAAACAAAGTGTTAAAAAGGTTTACAAGCATCTCAAAATGTCTAAAAATTTGACTTTTAGATTTATTTGAGTTCTAAACTGCAACAAGCTGCCTATATTTTGCCCATTTATTGCAGACAATAGTAGCTAATCAGAAAACTCATGTAAATATTTATGGATGAATAGAAATCTGTAAAGATTTGTGGATAAATAGAAACTTGTTACAAGTAGTTAGTCATTTTAGCATATTCTAGCAGTTTTAGGATTTTTTCCACAGTTGAGGAGGTCATAAATTTTTTTCTAATTTAATACAAGTTAATAAAAAGCAATTTTTCAATAGAAAACTATCCAGAAAAAAGTTTTAGAAAAAATGAGACACTTGTTGAAATTGAGTAAATAGTTATACAGCTCTAAAGCTCTAAAATTACCGTTGTACTTTTGACCGTTGTACTTGGAAGTGTCAAATTTCAAATTTAACCTATTTAGATAATGCACATAACAATATATAAAAATTAGGAAAATCATAGATGGAAATACAAAGTTTCCATTAAATTGTTTGAAATATAATCATTTGACCCTATTACTAATAGGAAATGTTTATTTTTATATACTTTTTTTAATATAAATTAATTAAATTTAATAATGCATTTTTAAAAATATTCGATTTAAGCAAATATATTTCTTTTCTCAACATTTGTATAAATGAATTAAAATATGTAAATATTTTTAAATGATTTCTTAAATTTCTAATTCAAGCTTTGCAAGTAAAAATGATTTTTATTTTAAAAAAATTTAGGAATAATAAATAAAAAATTAAAAAACAAAAAATCGAAAAAGCAGTTGCCCTAAAAATAAACTAATTTTTTTTTAAGTATAAATAAAATTTTAAAATTAAACAATATTTACAAATTTTCAAATTAATTTTACAGTTAATTAAAAACCCAAGCATTAACTTTAATTTTAAAAATATTTTTAATTCTATTATTAAATAATTTTTTTTAATCAGAATTAAATTATATGCTTTTTAAATCTAAATTAAATGATATATTTTTTTTTAATCAGAATAATTTTATCCATTTTTATTAAATATCATTATTAAATTATATAACTATGGTCTTTGCTTCAAGCCTAAAATCTGGGCGTTTTTCAAGCGAAAAAAATCAATCAATACAATAAAAATAAAATAAAAATAAAATCTCATAATATAAAACAACAATAAATTAATCTTTAATTTTTTACTCTTTTTTTATTATTATTATTATTATTATTAATAATATCAAGCAGCAGTTGTTTCATCAACTTTTCAATGTAAGATTGACAACTTGTTTGTTGTTTCTGAAATAAGTGACATTTAAGCTTTTTATTAGTTTTTAGTAATTGATCTTTTAATAAGTTATATGAAATATATTCCCTGTAATATAACCAGCATAAACTTTAAATTATTCTTTTGAAAAATGAAAAAGAAAAAAACATTTTTTTGCTATTCAAGAACTTACTATTTAAATTTTTTATAAAATGGAGTATATCAAATAATTAATATGTTTTAAATAAACCTTTTATAAACTGGATGATAAATAAATAGTTTTCAATTTCCAGTATACGCTTTATGAAACTGTGAAAACGCATTAAAATTGTTAAAATGGTTATTGGTAAAAACAGTTCTTATTTTAAATTTAGATTGGTGCATAAGGTAATTCATTGTAAGGTGATTACATATACATTCATCAATTTCTTTTTGTAAACAAAAAACTGTTATTTAAACTTAAGAAAAGGTTTTATAAGAATTGATTTTAAAGCCCATGCAACAACTTGCTTCTAATTGCTTTATAAATTTTTGAACAATCATAAAAACAAAAACAATTTCTTTTTAAAGATTACTTTCTCAATTTTCATCAATTCATTTACTTTGATATTGGGCTGATCGCAAGAAGCACTCAATTACTTAATACACAATTTCTGTCATTAATTTTTTTAACTTACTACAGTTTGTTAATTTGTAATTTTCATGTAACCATTTTGATAAATTAATATGATTATAAAACAATGTGAAGTTAAGATTTTTAATAACATCTATTGACTTCAAAAACAGTTGGTATTTTAAAATTATTAAATATTAAATACTCAAAATAAAGTATTAAATATTAAATATTAAAAATAAAGTAATAAATTGTTAATGCATTTTTGATCGCATAGTTTTTAATAACACTTCAATAAAGAAATATAGAAATTATGCATACTGGTAAAATTTACCATTTACATCTGTAAAAGATATGTAAAACTGTACATTTTGTACAAAATATACAGTTTTAAAGTTCACCATTAATTTAATATTTTATAAAAATAAACAATAAATATTTTTATCCTTTTTATTACCTTTAAGTAATTTTTTGATTTAAGATTGTCAAAAATTATTTAACAAATTTATTTGTTTAGATACAAAACTATGGCTTCTAATCTGTCTTATCAAAATGGTGAGATTTTATTTATTATTTAATTTATTATATAATTTAATTTTTATTATCAAATAAAGAAAAAAATAAACAGTTGCTGTCCCTTTTCAATATAAATACCAAATCAAGATGGTGGCAACCAACAATATTTTTATTTTTGTTATGAAATGACTTATATAGTTGCAGCTTTTAAAAGAGCCAATAGGTAGGTTAGTTAGTTAGTTGGCTCTAGTTGGTTTTTAATAATGCATTCAACCATTAATAATTGAAAAATCCAATGGTATTATAAACTGTGTCTGATGGTATTATAAGCTTTTAATCTTATATAAATATATATTTTTAAAAAAATTTTCAAGCATCTTGAAATGACTGAAAGTTGGAATTTTATAGCGGATGAGAACCCTATCCGTAAAATAATTATTTAAGTTTAAAATCTAAAACTAAAAGAAAGTATTTTTGTTCAATTTTATCGACAACTTTGCTATTGCTGAATAATTTTAATTAAATGTTAGCTTAAAAGATTTAAACTTTTTTTTTTAATTTTTGAATTTTTTTTACTTGTAAATAATGAGCATATTTAATTTTCATAAATTCAAACTTTTATTTCAACTGCATGCGGTTTTTAAAATACTTTATTAAATGTTAAAATAATCGTAAATTACTTCATTAAAATTCCGCTCAAAAATATCTTGAAATATACTCAAACAAAAATTTTTTTGCTCGACGCAAATAGCCCTAGCTACACGCAAAATCGCTCTTGGACGACGTAAAATTCACATCGCCCGACGCTTTATAGCAAGGCCTGTACCTGGTAGTACTGCACTCAACTTGTTTCTCTGCATATCAGTCTTGTTCGTCAAGATATGTGTTTCAGGGTTATAGAGTTAAGAGAGATTTATATTTACAATTAAGAAGCCTCCTCGCTTTTAGTAGCCTTCTTAGCCTTGGGGAGGTAAATTTACATAAAAAAAGTATATTATTATAAATATTTTTATGTCTATATAAAATTATGTATAACATATACAATATAATATATAATAATAAAACAGTTGTTATAGTATGTTATAGTATAATGATCATTATTAGCAAATCATGATGATGGCTTTAATAGAAATTGTTTTGTTTTATTTAGATTTGGCAAGGTTGTCTGCTGAACTTAAAAATTTTTATCTTAAGTTGTTATGGAAAAATGGGTGAACTACAACCGCTATTACAAGAAATTGGTGAACTACAACCGCTATTACAAGAAATTGGTGAACTACAACCGCTATTACAAGAAATTGGTGAACTACAACCGCTATTACAAGAAATTGGTGAACTACAACCGCTATTACAAGAAATTGGTGAACTACAACCGCTATTACAAGAAATTGGTGAACTACAACCGCTATTACAAGAATCTGCAAAATTAAATCAAAAGAGAAATCTGATAAATAAGACTTTTGATTTTAGTGTTGAACAAAATTTATTTTTTGAAAACCAAATGAGTTATACACCAATTAAATATAGTGAAATATTTTCAAATGAAAAATCAGTAATATTAATATCTGGAATAGCTGGTATTGGGAAAACATGGTTGCTTAAAAAATGTTTGGTTGATTGGTCAAATGGTTTAGTTTGGAAAAATGTTAAACTTGTTTTTTATTTGGAATGCAGGAGACTCAATCAATATCCAAATATTTCGAATATTAATGAATTACTAAATGTTTTCTACAAAGATATTGTAAATGACTTTAAATTGAGTAGTCATACTACACTGTTTATAATTGATGGATTAGATGAGTTTAAATATTTCAATGAGTTATTAAATCCAAGTTTGACTTTTTATCCAATTGTTAATGCTTTCGCAGAAATTACAAAATACAAATATGTAGTTGCTGGTAGAGTTTATGCAATAGGTAAATACCAAAGTATATCTACAGAACATAGCCATAAGTTAACCATTCAAATAATGGGGTTTAATGAAAATAAAATAAATAATTATATAGAAAATCATGTTGTGGAAGAAAAAAAAGAAGTTGTAAAATCAACTTTAAAGGAGTCTCCAATTGCAAAAGTCATGGCATCTGTTCCATTTTATTTATCTTTAATGTGTAAAACTATAAGTGATTCTGAAAATATTGATTCAAATTCTTTCTTAACATTGACAGATTTGTATGCAAATATTTTTTTATATTTTTTGCGAGAGCACATCATTAAAAACAATAAACTGATTCATGAGATAATGGAAGAAAGTTCCAATAAAAATTATATTTTAAATATTTGTAAAATTGCATATAAATTGTTTGTTGAAAATAAAATGTTTTTTTCTGAAGATGAAGTTCAAGGTTTTTATAGTGACGTTGATAAAAATGAAAGCAATTATTTTGGATTTATAGAAAGGATTGAAACAGATCTCGATTGTTATTATCAGTTCGTAAATTCAACAATAATGATGTTTTGTGCATCAGTATATGCATATAATTGTTTAAGTTGTTATGAGATTCTGACCAACAAGAAACTGAAGAGTTGCTTATCAATGATTTGTGGATTAGCCAATAAAAACCAAAATAATTTAATAAAGATTCTTGTTAACCTGAATCCTTCAAAAAACTCCAGTGAAAAATCTTCACTTTTGTACTCCATTTTGGGTAAGTTCTGAAACATTGATGCAATATTGTGAGTCTAATTTAGATATTCATTCAGGTGTTAAATAAGATGTCAATAATTTAGAGATTTTTACTTTTTTTTTTATTTTTAGAAGGTATTGAATACTATAAAGTATTTTACATTTGATATGTTTTATAATGTTAGACAATAGGGTGGATCGATTTTAAAAATTTTTGAAGTTTGATTTGCCTGAGCTGCAAATCGATGTCTTTTGATGAAAAAAGAACCTTACTTTTTTTTTTTTAAATTTAAATGAGTTTTAGAAGTTCCTCTTTGGATTCTAAATCTTTGACGGATCCTAATATTTTTGAAATTTTTTTTTTCTAAACTATATCAACCTGGTACTCAAAAGAAGCGCAATAATACACTTATTTTGAATATAATATTTGTTTTAATTCAAAACAAAAGAGAAAAAAAAAATGTCGTTTTTTTTATTAAAAATCCCCCGTTTTCACCAAAATGGGGGTTTTAAGGTATATTTTTGCAAATATTTTTTTCACTAAAAATTTTTTTTTAATTAAATTATTATTCGTAAAACAAACATTTTTTTCTGCTTTTTTTGAGTCCAAGGTTAATTAAGTTTAGAAAAAAAATATCAAAAATATAAGGATCCGTCAAGGATTTAGAATCCAAAGAGGAACCTCAAGATCTCATCAAAATCAAAAAATATTATTATACTTTCATCTTATAATTAATAGATATCGATTCGTGTCTCAGGAATATTGATTTTTAAACTTTTTTTTTTTAGCTATGAAAATCGATCCACCCTATTAGGCAAGTTTTATAAAAAAAAAATTAAATAACTATTCTTTATCTAAAATGACACAAAAAAAATTTATTGTGTGAGCATTGTTCACTTTATAAATGCTGAAGGTAGTTATGTGGTTTTGGTTTTTTTAGACTTTTTTACGCATACATGTGTGTGTTATTATTATTAAATATTATTCTTTAGGAAACAAAACATAATTTAAAAATTCACTAACAGTTTGTACAAATATATATATATATATATATATATATATATATATAAAATTCACTAACAGTTTGTTTATATATATATATATATATATATATATATATATATATATATATATATATATATATATATATATATATATATATATATAAATATATATATATTATATATATATATATATATATACATATATATATATATATATATATATATTATATATATATATATATATATATATATATATATATATATATATATATATATATATATATATATATATATATAAATTTATATATACATATATATAATTCTTCAAAATATTTTCTTAAAGTATGAATTATGTAAAACATGCATAAAATTTGTTTTTTGTAAACATTATATGTTATCATAAATATTATAAAAATAATTGTAGTGTCTTTATTATAATGTTATTCAGTGTGATGAACATCAAAATCACCAACAACAAGTATATTGGCTTATGGATAAAGAGAGAGGGCTTGGTCAATATGATCAGAAATAACATCAAGAAGAGTACAGTCTTCATATGAAAGATAGTGTTATAGAACAAAGAGAAAGGTGATAGAGTGAAGTGGTGTTAAACGAAAGTACATAAAAAAGTAGTCTGTGGATTAAAACCTAGTTTTCCGACAAATGGGTGAATTCTTACAAATATAAATGCCCTGGCCAAGCATGTAACTATTGGAGTCTTTACGAATTAAAGGAAGATAACCATTAAGACTTAGATCACAAGATGAGACAGCTGAAATCAAATAAGCCTCACAAAGAGCAAGTAGGTCTGGTAATCTTTGCAAGAGATAAGACTCAACAGACAAAAGTTACTTCGAAGGCCACAAGTATTAGTGAATGATAGGTTCAGCAAACTTAGTGATGACTGTGGTTTTTTGTGTTTTGTAGTTTTTGTTACTTTATTGATTTTTAAATTTGATAAAGACTTGAAACATAGCTAGTACACAGTACACTGTTTTATAGCCCAAACAATTGCCTCATTACTATTAATAAACCCTAAGCTGTAACAAAGGACTCCAATGTGGTCTTGGCAATGCAAACTAAATGTACAAACAGGGACAGCATCCATAAGCAACATGGCACTGTAAATACTTTGATATTTTTCAGCTGTTGATGGAATCAGCCTCTCTGAGGTCTACCACAGAGTTTGAGAAACCTGACTACCAGCCGGACTCAGAACAATAAAACTAAGTTTTAGAGCTGTACCCTCAATAGGAGGTAATAGAATGAGTTGCCTAGTCATAAAAACAGAGACACAAGCAAAACCCATGCATCGAGTCGAGAAAGTCCTACATTCAACATCCTAATTAGGAAACAATGTATTAATAATA